CGATTCTGCCCACGTCTGCCGACACATCCGCTCTGCAGTCCCGATCAGAGAGCACGGGCGGGCCACCGGGGGGGGGGGGGGTGCTATCTGGTGTTATCCGCTATTTGGGGTGCTGCCAGGGGGGCTGTCAAACTCCTATGATCAGAAATGAAGGGCTTGGAAGAAACTAAGCTTAAAATGCAGTTTGTGGTGCCTTTGAGAGAATGAGGTGCTGGAAGCGTCCGGAGAATCGGTCTCCGCGGCTGAGCCCTCGTTCAGGCAGCAAGACTCTACAACTGTCAGTTTGATGGGTTAGACTCCCAGGAAGAGGCTATGTGACTCATCATTCACCCAGGGGCAGCGCAAGAATGCAGGTTATGCCAGCCACAGCCCCACCGACCCCCCAGGGAGACTCAGGACGTCTACTGGGGGTCAGACTGGTATCAGTCAGTGGCACCTGGCTCCCCCGACTACCAGGCTCCAGGTGCTGGCATCCCGCCTCCAGAAACAGTTGCTACCCTTCTGCTGCTGCTGGGTGGCGCTGTTTCACTGTGACAGTTTATGCGCATATGAGCAAGCATGCAAGGCAGGTCCCCAGGGGCCACGCTGACTGCCAGGGGCCTCAGAGTCTGGTCAGGGGAAGCCAGCCACTCAACCCGCACCTCCTTTGATTAGCGAGCAGACAGAGTGATGGGGGTGTCGGGGGTGGGTTGATGTTATCCTCCCCCCAGAGGAAGCAAACACAGCGGGGGTCCTGTCATCATGTGGGGGAGCTTTTCCCTCCAGACTGAACCCAGACGTCTCACTGCTAGTATGGAATTCTGATCAGTTTCAGAAAAAGGAGACAAATGGAATTAAAAAAAATAAATTCCAAGTGCCCCCCCCCTTGAAATAAGATAGAAATTAATTAAAGCCATAAATAGATCTGCATCACAAGCTTCCAGAAATGCGGAGCACACTCATGTATACATCTGTACACGTGTGTACACATGGACAGCCCCTGTCTGCCTTGCTGTTGAGGTAGGTGGGGGGGACATAAATGCCAAACTTATCTCCCACTGCTCACAGTGGGTAAGGCCTCACTCATGCCCCTGTGGGGGCTTGCCTTTAATGTACCACTGCACACTCACTGCAGTACCGCACTCGCGTGACCCAGCCAGCAGGGCGACAGGCCATTGCATCACAGGCCTTCGCTGTGCTGATCTTTCCCATAGAATCAGCATCCAGTGGATTCCACTGCGCACACCATGTTCCCTGCACTGGCCTTATGCCCTGTTCCCAGGGTCTGAAAGGGTGCATTTCTGAAGATGGCCTCCAGAGGGACTCGCCCATCTATTTTTATGCAGAGAGTAAAATCTTATTTAGCTGTTTATGCACTGTGTTTAAAGAGGGTTTGTATGCAGGCCATCACACGTATATCTTTCTCCTGAGCCTTGGGTTATAATTACTCACAGCTCTACAGATCTACTCTTACGGAATGAGTCTGCTTCTGATTTATGGGTTATTGATATGAAATGTCCCGCTGTGACTGAGAGGGGTTCAGTGCCCCACTGGGACTGTGAGGGGAGGGGGGGGGGTCAGTGCCCCGCTGTGACTGTGAGGAGGGGTCAGTGCCCCGCTGTGACTGTGAGGAGGGGTTAGTGCCCCGCTGTGAAAATGAGATGGGGTCTGTGCCCTGCTGTTACCGTGAGGGGGGGTCTGTGCTCCGCTGTGGCTGTGTGGGGGGGGTCAATGCCACACGCTGACTGTGAAGGAAAGGTCAGTGCCTCGCTGTTACTGTGAGGGGGGTCAGTGCCACACTGTGACTGTGAAGGGGAGGTCAGTGCCCCGCTGTGACTGTGAGGAGGGGTCAGTGCCCCGCTGTGACTGTGAGGAGGGGTTAGTGCCCCGCTGTGAAAATGAGATGGGGTCTGTGCC